AGAGAAAAGAATAGCTTCATTGTGCGATGCTGTAACCTCATGGAACTGCAAAGCAGTGGAAATGGTTCTCAGTCACATTAAAGAGTATCTTGACATCAGTAAGCCCTTTTACAACAGCACTGAGAATAGCAAACTACTGCTGTGCTACAGTTGCTTTAGAGGAAGGCATCTTGGTGTCCAGACAGTGCTGCAGAGACCACAGTGCTATTCAGGGCATGTAGACACCCAGAATGCTGGGTCATAAAATGCACTGTCTCTGAGAATAGCATTCATCTAATTTTTCTGAAGTTTAAAGCATCGCCAAAGGTGGTATCTACATCTGGGAAAGTCTGTCACAGGCTCCCTTTTTATTCAGCGTAGAGAGAGGTATTGCTGTGCCACCATCCTTACGGCCTACTGCAGTCTTTCTTTGAAGGATGGGCCACTTTGAAGGACTGCTCACTATAAGAGCCCGTGGCTTTCTACTATCTCTATGAAGAAAGCCTAAATAAGCTGCCCAAGTAGACACCTCTCTCCAGTAGCCCTCCACGTTTGGCTGAATTAATTCCACCCTAAGAGTCTGATAAAATAGAAAACGGATGGTGATCCCAGCAACAGAAAGGAGCATTTAGTACGTTGTCTAATGCCAACAAATTATTACAGGCTGGGGAAAGGGAAACAAGATGTTCAGTGCACCTTTCCAGCTCCTGGGAAAAGTGAAAGTTGTCCAGAGGCCTCAGTGCTGTTGTGCTATTCCCTGTGCTCCTGGATGAACCTGGGGCTGGTAGAGACAGTCCTGCTCCCAGAGGGCCTGGGAAGGCAGCCGGCAGAAGGAGATGGCATGCTCAGCTCTGCTGGGTGCTGTAAGAAATCCAGGTATTTTGGAAAGTGAGAAAGATACTGTCTGGTCTGGAACTGCACCTGGATTTGTTGGGGGGGTGGGGGGGTGGTGGTGTTGTTGTTTTTGGTTTTTTAACGGGATTTATTTAGTCACTGAAAACTCTGTTTCCAGCTGATCTGAAAGTGTTCATAAACAGGACCAGGATTTAATTAATTTGTTCAGCCAATTAAAAAATTAATATGGAATTTATGAAAGCAACCTGATTTGGGTCTTTCAGAAAGATAGTGGAGAGGGGGTTTGTGTTGAATCCCAAGAGGAGCTGGCAAATGCAGACAGGCAGATAAAGTATTCCTCAAGAAAGATGCGGGTTAATCGTCTTTTCTCTGCTGCTGAGTAAGCAAATGCTTTAGCCACTGGAGTTTTAGGGTCCCAGAGGGAGGGAGGGAAGAGGAGAGCTGTCTTTATCCACTTCTATCCAGAACTGCATTTGGGAGGGGGTGAGAGAGCATGTTGGAGCAGGCGAGAGCATTATCTCCAGCTGGGTGGTTGCTGCACTCTGGGTGAGGACTTTCACTCCAGACTCTGAACCCTCTCCTAATGATTATTTAAACTTTTAAATAAAACAGAACAGTTTTTTTAACAATGTCTCTATTAAACAAAGGGAACATGAGGGGATGCCTCAGATCCCCATTTCCTTTTGCTGGGCTCACTCTTTTTCCATTTCCCTATGTCCCCTTCTAACCATAGCTATGAGCTTTAAGTAAAAATAAATAAAATAAAAAAAAAAATCAAGAAGTGCTTGGAAAACAAAAGCATTTGCTTCAAAATCTGGGGTGGGGAAAATAAATCAGCTGAGCCATGGTCACTATTTTCAACCTCACAGAAGTGAGTAGACAATTGTCCACTGAAAAAATAAAGAAAAGGAAAACAAAGAAAGAAAGAGAAAGAAAAGGAAGGAAAGAAAGAAAAAGAAAAGGAAGGAAAGAAAGAAAGGAAAGAAAGAAAAAAGAATGGAAAGAAAGAAAGAAGGAAAGGAAGGAAGAAAAGAAAGAAAGAAAGAAAAAGAAAGAAAGAAAGAAAGAAAGAAAGA